TCGCAGATGAATCATGGCCACTGGACTTCCTTCTTGTTAGGTTGAAATGTTTCACTACTCATCCAAGTAGCTTCTTCAGCCCGACGAGAGAAAGATCTGCACCACACCCACCAGACAGACCATTATTAACATTTGTTAACGACCCATGACAATGGGTGAAGGACTGCAGAAGTGGGATTTTCAGTCATGTCCTTAATCCATCTAACGAGTCTATTAGACCAGGGGAAAGTGAAACAAACGTGGAGTATGTATCAGGGGGTCTCCTACCAACTCTCCTCAAACTGAAGAATCTACTTGGATGAGTAGTGAAATGTTTCAACCTCATCAGAAAGAAGTCCAGTTGCCATGACTCAACTTCCAGATAAGAGGTAGGACTGTTCGTTAGGTTTTCCCTGGATACCTCTATGCAGGAAACTTAAGAAATTCTCCAACACACTTTCCCATGCTGTTGGCGGTGCCAAGAAAATTCAACAGAATCCTGCCCATTCATTTAAAGAGATTTAGAAGCAAGCTTCCCTGTTGTGAACTGTAGCTTCTTCAGTCTGAGGAGATCAGCACCACACCCACCAGAAAGACCATTATTAATTATTGTTAATGACCCATGACAATGGGTGGAGAAGGACTGCAGAAGTGGGATTTTCACTCACCCCCCCCCATCCTTTGTCCATCTAATGAGTCAGACCAGGGGAAAGTGAAACGAACGTGGAGTATGTATCAGGGGTCTCCTACCAACTCTCCTCGAACCGAAGAATCTACTTGGATGAGTAGTGAAATGTTTCAACCTCATCAGAAAGAAGTCCAGTTGCCATGACTCAACTTCCAGATAAGAGGTAGGACTGTTCGTTAGGTTTTCCCTGGATACCTCTATGCAGGAAACTTAAGAAATTCTCCAACACACTTTCCCATGCTGTTGGCGGTGCCAAGAAAATTCAACAGAATCCTGCCCATTCATTTAAAGAGATTTAGAAGCAAGCTTCCCTGTTGTGAATGAAACACAATGTACTTTTAAGACAACTCTCAGCTAAGCCCATCTCTCCTGTCCCCAGTGAGCTGAGCTTCACGGGAACAGATGTGAGGTTCCACTGGATTAAATTAGCAAGGTCTGTATCTAGAAACCTGTTGTTGAGATCTTGAATTGGGATGTCCTCATAAGAACCTAAGAAGAGCCCTGCTGGATCAGGCCAAGGGCCCATCTAGTCCAGCTTCCTGTATCTCATAGTGGCCCCACCAGATGCTTCTGGAAGCACACGAGACAGATAGATATCTGTCTCCTGATACCATTCCCCTCGGCATTCTGAGGTACCTTCCTTTTAAGCCTGGAGATCAGCTGCACCTTAGTGGAACAGCAGAACCCAGACATTCAAGGACCATCTTTGGAAGCCCCACCATTCTAGAAGACAAATGAAACACAGTAGGACTCCCATATCCATCAGTAATTGTGATTTCACTTACCTGCCACCTGAAAATATGGAAAGAACAAAACTAGAAATATGTGCTTTCATGATGTATTTACCAGATCTGGCCACTAGAGGAAGCAGATGCCAAGCTATGTATTCTTGTTGAAGAATACATAGCACAATCTCTGGCTCCCTCTAATGCACAGTTATGGTCCTACAAGGTGAAAGTACTGTACATTTTTCCTTTGTTCTTTTCTTTTACCATGTTATGTATAGCATTTGCTATAATCCAGTTTTCAGCATCTTCTGAAATACATAACACAGTATCTGGCTCCCCCTGGTGGCCAGTTCTAGTAAACACACTACAAAAATTCATATTTCTAGGTTTTTCTTTTGACAATGGGTAAGTGAGACCACAGATACCAATAGGGGAATCCACCTGTACCTATTCAGGTAGCTCCTGTCCATCTTTTCCTTTGCTCCCATGATCTCTTGATTATGAACTCACTCTGAAACCAGAAGCCCTTCCAGTCCTCAAAACTTACCTGGTTCCTGTCCAGCCAGGCTATGACCTCGTTGCACTTGTCCAGGATCTTCTGCTTGTCCTCCGGGGACAGCTTGTCCTTGAGCTTCTCGTCCTCCGCCGTGCTCTTCATGTTGAACGCCAGGGACTCCAAGGAGTTCTTAGCCGCAATCTTCTCCCTAAATACACTACGAAAATTCATATTTCTAGGTTTTTATTTTGACAATGGGTAAGTGAGACCACAGATAAAAATCTCTGCCATAGGGGAATCCACCTGTACCTATCAGGAAGCTCCTGTCCATCTTTTCCTTTGCTCCCATGATCTCTTGATTATGAACTCACTCTGAAACCAGAAGCCCTTCCAGTCCTCAAAACTTACCTGGTTCCTGTCCAGCCATGCTATGACCTCGTTGCACTTGTCCAGGATCTTCTGCTTGTCCTCCGGGGACAGCTTGTCCTTGAGCTTCTCGTCCTCCGCCGTGCTCTTCATGTTGAACGCCAGGGACTCCAAGGAGTTCTTAGCCGCAATCTTCTCCCTCTGGATTTCATCTTCAGCTTTGTATTGCTCCGCCTCTTGCACCATGCGCTCAATCTCCTCCTTGCTAAGACGGCCTGGAAGACAGGAAGGGGAAGCCCACCAAGTCAGCGGCAAATTTCCAAGCCAGGTGTGGACCACTTGTGGTGGACCTCTTAAGCTGCCTCAGGTCCGTTTAAGGAGAAAGGAGGGCCAAAAATATTTTAAATATTAAATAAACGGGCTGTTGCTGAACAGCAACTCCACAGCCAAGGATGGCTTCTAAAATCTGATGACCAGCAACATCTGGAGCTGTGATCCTCACGTGTTCCTCTCACTGTTCTACCAAAGTCCCTGGTTTCTCTCATGATTGAAACAAAGCTCATTTTAATTCCCAAGGAGGACATTTCTATGCTTACAAGTCTTTTCTCAGCACCATCATGATTTACTGTAAATCTTATTTCTCCAGAGCTGGGGCAGCTTTTTGTGCCTTTTCAAGAAGGATGCTGGCCTTACCATGAAAGGCTCTTAATGGTTTGGGATCTGCTATCTGTTGGTGAACCTCCCCTGAAGCTATGCCACCCAATCCACTCTGGCCAGTCTCCTACTGGGGGGGGGGCGCTCTGAAAGAGGCTGAGGAGGCCTCCAGAAGGAGCCGAGCCCTCTTGGTGGTGGCCCCACGTCTTTGGAACAGCCTCCCTGTGGAGATCCATCAGGTCTCTTCTCTCCCAGCCTTCAGGAAGTGGTTGAAGAAACATCTCTCCAAGGAAGCCTTTAGAGAAGAGTCACCCCTTGCAGTCATCACAAGCATTATTTACTGGACTGCCCATCCATGTGTCTGCTTCTTCTGGGAAGTCTTATTGTATTGGGTTTATCTGGGGTTTGACTGGTATGTTGGGTTTAATATATTATTGCCAACGACCCAAAGTAGTGGTTTGCACTAAATCGGGTGGTATGCAAACCAACCAACCAAATTTGCAACTTTCACAGATATGCAAGCTGCACTATAGTTTGAGATTTGACAGGTATGTTGGGTTTAGTATATTATTGCCAACGACCCAAAGTAGTGGTTTGCACTAAATCGGATGGTAGGCAAACGGACCAACCAAATCTAAGTTTTACAGATATGCAAGCTGCAATATAGTACAGTGGTGCCTCGCTTAATGAGCGCACTGTTTAATGACGAATCCGCATAGCGGCACGTTTTTTGTGGTGGTATGCAAACCAACCAACCAAATTTGCAACTTTCACAGATATGCAAGCTGCACTATAGTACTGTGGAAATAATTTGCTCCCTTAGTAACTGAAAACTGTAGAGTAGCCATTTTTGCTACGATAGTTAAAAAACACCCAAGATACAGTGGGGTCTCGACTTACGAATTTTAGATAGGGAAAACATCGTGTTGCGATGATCGGCAAGCGTTTCGCTTACCAATTTTCGCATAGCGATGTTTTAAAAACAGCTAATTGGCGGTTCCAAAATGGCCACCGGAAGAAAAAAAATGGTCATCTGCAGTGTTTTCACGCCCTGTCCTCACTTACCGGGCAGTGAAAATGGTGGCCGGATGGAGGATTTCCTCATAGCGGTGAGTTTTTCCTCCATAGGAACGCATTAAATGTGTTTTAATGCGTTCATATGGGGTTTCCCCCCCACTTAGAGACAAATCCAGATAGCGACGATTTTTTCCGCACGGATTATTGTCGCTATGCGGGGCACCACTGTACTGTGGAAATAATGTGTTCCCTTAGAAATTGAAAACTGTAGAGTAGCCATTTTTGCTATGATAATTAAAAAACACCCAAGATAATGAACTATGGCAACATAACTGGGTATGGGCTTTATTGCTCTTAACTGAAACATTAGGTCATACACTAGTCTACACTGCAACTACTACTGCTCTGATCTCGAGACCTTAATGAACTATGGCAACATGACTGGGTATGGGCTTTATTGTTCTTAACTGAAACACTACGTCATACACTAGTCTACACCGCAACTACTACTGCTCTGATCTCGAGACCTAGAGAAGTGTGATGTTGCCCCACCACTTCTTCGGCACCCAGACAGACCCAGGGCCAGTAGTAGTCACGCACTGAATGGCTCACTCACCTTTATCGTTGGTTATGGTGATCTTATTCTCCTTGCCGGTGCTCTTGTCCACGGCCGAGACGTTGAGGATGCCGTTGGCATCAATGTCAAAGGTGACCTCAATCTGGGGGACGCCGCGCGGAGCGGGAGGAATCCCTGTCAACTCAAACTTGCCTAGCAAGTTATTGTCTTTGGTCATGGCACGCTCTCCCTCGTACACCTAGATGGATTGAATGAACATACAAGAATCGCTGTCAGAGACTCGTTCTGCCTCGTTTTAACCTTTAAAGCCCTAAATAGTTTGGCTCTGAGCTATCTCAAGAACGGCATCTCCCTTTATGAGCCTGTTCGAGTGTGAGATCATCAAGAGAGGCTTTCTCTCGGTCCCACTGCCTCCCAGGTCCACTCAGTGTGGAGGCGGGAAAGGGCCCTTTCTATTGTGGCTGTTCTCAAACTCTGGAACTCCCTCCCACTGGAGGCCAGACTGGCCCCATCTTTGCTGGGGCAAAACCTTTCTCTTCAGGCTGCTTTTCCTTTAAATGACTGATTGACCAAGGGGATTTTTTAAAAAGGGATGATGGTATTCTCTTGTTTTACTTGTGCTTCTAACGTTGTTCTTCTTTATAAGTTTTCATATGACACCTGTTTAGTTCTTTTTAAATACTGGAATAATTTATTACTTTAGCTTTTAACTTTTATTACTTTGAATACTGTAAGCTACCTTGGATCCTTTAAGAGAAAGGAGGCATAGAAATGTTTTAGACAAACAGGCTGTAGGATTCAGAGGGTGGTCCAAATTTTTGCCTGGTCGCCAGCATACACCTAAAACCTACCATCTTACTTGAAGTTAATTCCTAGAAAGAAAGGCCCGATTCTTCTTTAATATCTCTGTTTTCTTTAAGTAGGAATTCGAAGTCTATACAATGTTATATACAATGAACTATTAGCTTTTCATTTGGGCCACCACTGCATCAACTGACCCTTTGCTTAGTCAGCTGGGTGGTGTAATATAGAACTTTTCCTGTTATTTTCCATCCATTTAATCGCTCATCTCAGTGGTCTGTTTGGCAACCCCATGCCGTAATGATCAGAGCCTGGAAAATTCACCTTTTTGAAACGTTAACAACAAGAATCCTCCAAGGATTTTGGGATTTGTCGTCCCCCACCCAAAGTAAAAGCCTCTGTAGGGCAAACCCATCAGCCTGGCGATTCTAGGAGTTGGAACCAAAATCTTAAATCCCCTTTCTCCTGTCCTTCTCAGCCAACCCTTGCAAAAGATCTCGTCTCCACTGACCTGGATCAGCACTCCTGGCTGGTTGTCAGAGTAAGTGGTGAACGTCTGGGTCTGCTTGGTGGGGATGGTGGTGTTCCGCTTGATCAGGGCTGTCATCACCCCGCCGGCCGTCTCGATACCCAGGGAGAGGGGTGTGACATCCAAGAGCAGCAAGTCCTGGACATTCTCAGACTTGTCCCCACAGAGGATGGCAGCTTGGACCGCTGGCAAAGAAAAGGGAACCGTTTCAAGGAAACAGCCAAGCCAACTAGAGGCCATCCCCACCTTGCCCACTCTTGTTACTGGAATTCTTGGCAACCAAGGTATTTTAAGGATCAAACCTAACCCTGTACACGTTAACAGGACAATCAACTTGTCCATCCCTCTTTTAACGGAAAGATAACTCTTTGGAAACAAAGCAACACCTTTTGGTGTAAAACTTATAGAAGTATATTTCTGACCCTAAAACAAGGCATGTTTTGGTAGACCCAACTTGCCTTGAAGAGAGCAATGGTGGAGATGTATTACCAAAGAACCTTGTCTTCCTAGACTCTCTACCCCTAACCACAATAGAGCAGGGGAAGCATTCGGTCTTATAGGAAGGATTCTGATCCCCTTTTCCTACAAAGCTTTGATTCCTGTAATGTCATTACAGTTGTGCCCCGCTTAACGATTACCCTGCATTACGATGAATCCGCTTTATGACAATACTTTTGCGATCGGAAAACGATGGTCTAAATGAGGGAATTTCGCTTAGCGATGATCGGTTGCCTGCTTCAGGAACCGATTTTTTGCTTTACGACGATCAAAAACAGCTGATCGTTGGGTTTTCAAAATGGCCGTCGGGTGCTTAAAAATGGCTCCCCACTGTACTTAGCAATGGATTCCTTGCTATACAAGCACTGAAAATGGCCGCCGTATGGAAGATCTTCGCTGGATGGAGAGTTTTTAGTCCATTGGAACGCACTGAACGGTTTTCAATGCGCTTCAATAGGTTTTTCAATTTCACTTTACGACATTTTCGCTTAACAGCGATTTTCCTGGAACGGACTATCGTCGTTAAGCGAGGCACCATTGTACTCGTTAAAGAACATATGAAGAGCCCATCTGCAGCAGCCTAAACGCTTTCCTTATCTACTGTTCTGTTCTCAAAAGGAAAGCCACCAGCCAAACCAAGCTGTTCTGTTGTTTTTAAGCTATTCTAAAAAAGTCTGCCTCTTAAATGTCCGGATAAACGAACAGCAACTAATAAGCTGCCATCCAGAGTAGACCTTTGGTCTAGACCCACTAGCCAAACCCAAGCCGCTCTGTTATTTTTAGGCTATTCTGAAAAAGTCTGCCTCTTAAATATCAGGATAAACGAACAGCAACTAATAAACTGCTGCCCAGAGTAGATCTTTGGTCTAGATGGGCGAGGTAGAAATCCAATAAAATAAATAAATAAATAAATAAATAAATACACATTTATCGATATACTTTCCCTTTATCCAAGAAATAATGAGGCATTCTTGCCTCAAACCTGCCTTCCTGATGACCCATGTCCATTTGCTTGACGCTTTTGCCCTGTCCCACTGTAACACAGTGGCTTTCCCCTTCGACCACCGCTTCCTACCTGCTCCATAAGCCACTGCTTCGTCAGGGTTGATGCTCTTGTTAAGTTCCCTGCCGTTGAAGAAATCCTGCAGGAGCTTCTGGATCTTGGGGATGCGGGTCGAGCCCCCAACGAGCACAACGTCGTGGACCTGGGCCTTGTCCAGCTTGGCATCACGCAAGGCTTTTTCTACGGGCTCCAGAGTACCACGGAAGAGGTCAGCATTCAGTTCTTCAAAACGGGCCCGGGTAATGGACGTGTAGAAGTCAATGCCCTCATAGAGGGAGTCGATCTCAATGGAAGCCTGGGTGGAGGAGCTGAGGGTGCGCTTCGCCCGCTCGCAGGCCGTGCGCAGCCGCCGCACCGCCCGCTTGTTGTCCGTGATGTCCTTCTTGTGCTTGCGCTTGAACTCGGACACGAAGTGGTTCACCATGCGGTTGTCAAAATCTTCACCACCCAAGTGGGTGTCCCCAGCAGTTGACTTCACCTCAAAGATGCCGTCCTCGATGGTCAGGATGGAGACGTCAAAGGTGCCGCCACCCAGGTCGAAGATGAGCACGTTGCGTTCCCCGCCTACCTACAAACGAGACATCCCAACCCTCTTAGAAGGACGTCCTCTTTCAGACGGGGCAGCAGGACCGAAATTAAAAGACTCCCAGGACACAGTGGTGACATAGCCAGAGAATGGAAGCTTCCACACTCCAGATGTTTTCTGACTTACACCTTCTTTCTCTGGCCACTGGCTCTCTTGGCTAGGACTTGCGAGTGTTGGAAGCCCAAAACATCATCCTCACTTCCAACAGACACTATTTTGCATCTGAACATAAACTAGCCCTTCTCAATTTCTGGCCCTCCAGATGTTTTGCAATTCCAACTCCCCATATTCTTAACCACCATCTACAGCTGCTGGAGCTTCTGAGAATTTGAAATCCAAAGATCAAAGGTTAAGATCCATCACATACGCTGAAAGAAAGAGGCTGAACTCAGTTCTCCTCCTGGCTGCACCAAACCTGAATTCCCAGTATCTACCCACGTGGTCCTGGGAAAACAGCTGTTTTCTGAATATTCTGAAAACTCTTCTAGACCAGTGGTTCCGAATATTGGGGCCCCAGATGTTCTTGAATGAGAACTCCCAGAAATCCTGGCCAGCACAGCTAGTGGTGAAGGCTTCTGGGAATTTTAGTCCAAGAACCTCTGGGGTCATAAGGGTGAGAACCACTGTTCTAGATCCGATATAACTTGTTTTGCATGCACTGCTCTATTTTCTCAACACCAGTCACATGTAAGGAGGTTAAATTCTTCCCTACCTTTTTATCCAACCCGTAAGCTATGGCAGCTGCTGTGGGTTCATTGATGATACGGAGGACGTTCAGGCCTGCGATAGTGCCGGCGTCTTTTGTGGCTTGTCTCTGGGAGTCGTTGAAATAAGCTGGGACTGTAATCACAGCATTGTTGACGGTCTACCGCAGAGAGGAAGAGAAATCAGCCAGTGCAGCGTTGCAGAGAACACATTTAATAGTTTGCAGTCTTGGTGAGTGGTTGCATGCTATGAAAATTCCACTAATGGTCCTACATGCCTGTATTTACTTTAGGACTACAATGCCCAGCGTTCCCAAAGGAACAGAGCCACTCACCACACCACTTGGGGAATCCTGGGATATGAAGTCCAAAACCACAACTATACGCACAGGTAGTTTTCATTTCAAAGGACCATATTATTCTAGGACCATCCTTAGCAACAATGACAATCATGTGCTGGCAAGTGAGTTTTGACTTCTGGCGACCCTCTTCAGGATTTTCCAAATACTCAGAAATTGTTTACTATTCCCTTCTTCTGCGATTGTGTAGCTCGCCCAAAGCCACACTGTCTGTCTCTGCTCATAGAAGGCACAGCGGGGAACTGAACACCCAATTTCTGGCTCTACAGCCAGAGGCCTAAACCACCGAGCTACTGTCTAACTTAGCATGAAACAAAGGTGCATGTTCATTTGTTGAGTTATACATGCAGTGGTGCCTCACAAGACGATGTTAATCCGTTCTGCAGAAATCGCTGTCTTGCCAAAACATTGTCATGCGAAACCAAATTTCCCAAAGGAATGCACTGAAAATTAATTAATGCGTTCCTAGGGGGAAAATTTTTTTTAAAGGAACTTAAGGGGTAGGGAGTTGGGGAAGCACCATGGGAGGACTGGCAGGGGGTTCCCCTCGCCACGATCGCCGGCTCTGGAGGTCTCCCGCCAGTCCTCTGATGGTGCAGGAAAAGCCTCCAAAGTGCTCTAAAGCGGGCGCGGGTGGTTGTAGAGCGAAAAAGCCCCACTGGAACCATCGTTTTGCAATTGCTAAAGCGATTGCAAAAAACCAACGTAAAGCAATTTCATCATCAAGCGAGGTAACCGTCTAGCGAGGCACCACTGTAGTTGAAAACAGGACAATCTTGGAGTGCCCAAGAAGTTTGGATTGGAAAGTGTAAACAAAACACAATGGTGGAAAAAAGAAATTATTTAATGACTTTGTAGGCAAAAAGGAACTGAAAGCATCTTCTGAGTTAGCAGATTCATATTGTCATTTTTTATTATTTGTTTCTATTGGGCACTTTGCCTCCATCCTTCTATTGCATCACTCCTGTACAGAGCTTGAGGCGCCAGAGCAACTCACCTTGCCCAGGTAAGCCTCTGCAATTTCCTTCATCTTGGTGAGGACCATAGACGAGATCTCCTCTGCGTAGAAGGTCTTTGATTCCCCTTTGTACTCCACCTGCACTTTGGGACGGCCGGCGTCATTGATCACATGGAAAGGCCAGTGCTTCATGTCGGAATGGACCACAGGGTCATCGAAACGGCGGCCGATCAGGCGCTTGGCATCTGGGGTAAAAAGAGCAGCCAGAGATGATGAATGGCATTCTCTCCTCGAACCTGAGCCTGGGTGGTGCCCCCAGAACCTCCTTTTAAGGATGGGGCAAATCCAGATTCCTTACCAAAGACTGTGTTGGTAGGATTCATGGCCACTTGGTTCTTGGCAGCATCCCCGATGAGGCGCTCCGTATCTGTGAAGGCCACGTAGCTGGGGGTTGTCCGGTTGCCTTGGTCGTTGGCGATGATCTCCACCTTGCCATGTTGGAAGACACCCACACAGGAGTAGGTGGTCCCCAGATCAATGCCTACAGCTGGACCCTTGGACATTTTGGCTATTTAAAAAAAAAGACACAAATGATACATTCAGAGAAGGGTAACAAGTTCAGAGAGGAGGGCACAGGGATGATCAGGAGGACCGGAAACCAAGCCCTAGGAGGAAAGAACTGGGCATGTTTAGCCTTCAGAAGAGAAGACTGTGGGGAGATATGATAGCATTTTAGAAATACTTGAAAGTAGTCATACAGAGAAGGGGCAGGATCTGTTCTCAATCATCCCAGAGTGCAAGGCTCAAGGTATAGGAAGCCAGATTTAGGCTGAGTATCAGGAAAAATATCTCAAGAGTTAGAGCAGTACGACAACAGAAGCAGGAAGTGACGAGCGCTCCAACGTTGGAGGAGTTAGAGCAGTACGACAACACAGGAAGTGACGAGCGCTCCAACGTTGGAGGCCTTCAAGAGGAAATTAGACAACCCTCCGTCAGATCAGTTTTGACTTGGATTCTTGCCTTGGACTTGATGGCCGTAGAGGCTCCTTCCAACTCCATTATTCTACGATTTTATGACGTGTGAATGCAAGAACGTAGGAAAGGCCCTCCAGGACACTGCAGTAAAGCAGCTACCACTTTGCTTGTGGCAGATGGAACGTTTTGTGTGCAAAAGGTCCCAGAGTCAACTTTCAACCTTTCCAAGTAAGAATGGCAAGCCAACTCCTCCCTATGCTGAGCCACTGATGTAGACTGGCGTTGGTTACTAATGGCCTATCAGAGTCTGTTGGGCTCAACTCCCCATAATCCTCCACTACTGGTTCTACCAGTTAAGAGCCGATGGAAGGTGGAGTCCATAAATATCCAGAGGGTCACCCATCCCAATGCAAACAACATTGAGCTAGATAAACAAATACGTTGTCTTGATTCAAGGGAGTCATTGCTCAAACACATGGGGAGATCCGTGAAGTGCTGCTGCCCCCTGCTGGTGGAAAAAGGGATTGAGCATACCAGTTTTTCAGCTACAGCTAAAACACGAATATCTCAAAAACCATAACAAGCGTTAAAAACCAGCACCTAAAAACTGAAACCTAAGCCTTCTAAAATCCAACAGGCCGGATTCCTGCCTTGATAAATATTCTTGCCAAATGTGGCATTCACATAATTAACAACTGCATTAATAGCTATTTAAAAGGTAAGGAGGCGTGCAATAAAATTTCAGTCTTTTATACATCTACCCATTTGTTCTGGGTTCTGCCCGGCAGGGACTTGCTCTTTGCTTTATATTAAAAAAAAATTATGTTCCTGCTACTGAAAGCGTTTATTTTCTCATGTAAACAACAAATATTTCCACTGCAGAATGATGCAGAAAACAAAAACTTTTTTTTACTTTCAGGCAGCCATTTGTATTACAATAACTGTGTACAATAATGGAATAATCCATGCACACCATTGCAATCTTAGCCTGGCTGGTGAATTTTAAAATATATAAGCTGGTGAAGGCAACATTTCGAGATTGACGGAAGATCAGTATGGTCTTCTAACGAAATAGGAACCCAAATGAGAAAAGTTCTATTTCTAGAACACAGTACGTACAGATATATAAGAGATCTGGGGCAGCTGTCGCCTCCTGCTGCTTGCAACAACTATAGCTAGTTCAAAACTGTTTTTTTTTAAAAAAATTATGTTTAAGCAAAAATGTGCAAAAATGAGTTAAAAATTTCATTGATGAAAAAAAAAATGAAAAACACATCTTGCAACCTGATATGAGAGAAGGGCAGGAGCCAGTGCAGAGGGATTTTTTTTGGGGGGGGGGCAACAAGATCAATAAGAGAGATTTCCCTCTCTAGGTAGAAAACAGAGGGATTGCATAATATCCAACCTGCTGTGTCATCTGCAAACAGAATCAATGCTTCTGGACTTGGCAAAGTTCCCGTTTTCAACCCGGTTGCCCAAGAGCGCAGACCGCAGACCGAGTCCAGGTCAAAGAACCTCTTCCTCCCCCCCCTTGAGCTCTCACCTCCAAAAATGGAAGAAAACACCAATGCACTCTGCACATGCTCAAGAGAATTAGTCTACGCCAACCTGCAGAGGCGTCACAAAAGTTCCGATTACCCCAAATCCGAGTATGTGGGGTGGGGAACTGCAAGCTGATTGTTTGTATTTATTTATTCCGTGACCAAGACAGGTTTGTAAACAGAAACCTTGACCTGAATCAACTCCTTCTGATGAAAAAAAACAAAACAAGTCCTTCTTTGGGGTCCCCGAGCAAACAAGGTGTCAGGATGAAGCCGCGTCAGGATGAAGCCGCGGGGCTGAGCCTCAGGGGTTAACCCTCCCCTCCCCTTATCTTTTAAGCTCAAGGAAAGGGACCCTCCCTAGCCCGGATCAGAGTTGTCCTTCCAGATAAGATTGTGTGTGTTTGTGTGTGTGAAGCCACAACCCCCCCCCTCTGCCCCACCATTGGACAACCCAGCCCATCTTGGCACGGAGCCGTAACCACCCACATTTGTGCATGCATGTGTGTGTAAGAGAGAGAGGGAGGGAGGGGGGCCAGAGACAGCTGTGGGGAGTCCTTCCCCTCCCCTCCTGCCCTTTTTTCCTCCCCCTCTTCCGAGGCTGGAGAGATTGTTCTAGAACTTCGGGACGGGGAGGGCTCTGCGGCGCAGACAAACCCCTGAACACTGCAAGCAGGCGGGCCGAGAAACGGCCACAACCCAACCCGCCTCATCCATCATCCCCCTCTCACTAACCATGCTTTTTTCCTTACTCCTTTTACAGCAACTATTATGCTCTCCCCCCACCAGCCAAAACCACACATTCAAATATGTATACTTTTTTTGGGGGGGGGGATGTCTGGATTCTGATCAAAGCTCTCAAACTATATGTAGCCTAATCCAACAAAGGTTCACCACTGGGACACCGTAGTGCCTCTGAGCATAGTTAAGAGTGTCTTTTCCTCCACCTCCAGAACATTCCCATGGTTCTAAGCATAGTAGATAATTTTTTTGGTGGGAGGGAAGTTTCATTTTGGTTGTGAAACCTCCAGGCTGATCTGTGCCCCAGAACATGTAGGTTCGGGCCATGTTAAGAATGAGAAGACCCAGGTTTGAATCTCTATCGGCCACAAAGCTTGCGCGCGCGTGTGTGTGTACTCTTGCAGTTTAGGCTACCTCCAAGGGATGTTGTGAAAGGGACAAAATAAGCATGTTGTGTTACATTTTTATATGCCAAATAAACAACAAACAACAACAAAATACACCTTTCTAAGACTAAGTGCCCAAAAGTTTTAAATTAAATTTCTTGAGGGAAGACATTCAGATCCACCCTATTAAGATAAACGGTGGATTTCAGCTCCTAAGGAAGGGAGTGCCCGGTCCCTCAGTAGAAGGGATGATTACTAATTAAGAGTTACATCCCATTAAAACGGAAAGCTTTTATTACTGATCCCCAAGCTGTTCTGGCAGCCTTGCGTGCCAAGAGGTGAAAATTAAAAATACGCGTAATGTGTTGGAAGTACAATTCCACTGGCCCCAGAACTGCACAAAAACATTTCTGGAAGTCACGAAGTTGGCAAAAGCTGGCCACAAGCACACACACACTCTGTGTGTGTGTGTGTGTGTGTGTCTGCGTATATATAAACATACAGAAACGCAACTTAAAAATGCATTCGTTTCTTTATCTGGGTTTGGGGAGGTTTTCTATGGATGAGGGTTCCTTCCTTATGTTCGCTGCTTTCTTTTTATTCCAATTTCAAAAGATTCTTCTATTTTGCTTTATTTTTATCTGCAATCTATATTGGCTTGCTCTGTCTTCCTATCAAAAGGCATGAGGCTAAATCCAACAGACCCATTGCAATGATGTGAAAACTAAGTCTTGCTGATTCCAACAGGTCTAACTCTAGGTGGTTTTTACAATCTAAACTTCAGATGCAGAAGAGCCCGGCTTTTCCTTTTCAGTTGGCAACCCTCTCAAGTTTTTGAACAGAAATGAGCCACTTTGAGAATAGGGTAAGGAGTGAAAAGTAACTTAATACCAACTTCAGAATCACACTAACAGAGTAACTGCCCTCTGAGTCTAGTTACCTTGGGATTCAGAATTTATCAGCCTTCTGGAAAAACTTGTTCCAAACTAATTTAGAGAGGCGAAATGAATTAAAAAACCAAGCACCCATTGGCTTTTTAAGGCCACCCTTCCTGAATTTCAATACATCTTTGGAGAAAATGAAGATGCGATTCTGCATTCAGTGAATGAACGAAATACTTGAACGGTGGGTTTTTCAAGAACCCCTCAGCTGTTCCAGCAGCTGTCCGACCCAACTGGAAAGGGTTAAACCCTTTTCAGAGCCCAGATCTGATCCCCTGCCAAAAAATATAAAAGATTAAAAAAACCACAAAAAAAGAAAAAAGGAAAAAAAAAGGCTTGGCTGCAGTCGTGTTCTCTCTCTCCCCAAAAAAGGGCTGTGAGGAACAAGCAGACACGCCTGATTGTAGTTTTCCATAGTCCCGATTTAGATGCGGGAAAGATCATCCTATTTCACCGCCCTGTCCCTTGAAAATACTATCCCGGGAAGAAAAGGTGGGGGGGGGAGGGAGTGAGAGAAAAGTTCTCAGAGTTTAGCAAAGCACCACAACAAGAAGGGGACCCAGGAGTCCGGGATCCGCTTTGCTACCCCCCACCAGAGTCCCCGATCCCAAACACGCTTCCTGGAGGATTAAGTGCCATTAAGTTTCTGGAGCGCTTCCTGGCTACGCAACGCGTGTCTCCCGAGATACGTGTGCAACCAACCCATCTGATGCCAGGAAGGCAGAACTCGCAGGAGGATTACAAGAGAGTAAGCCGTAGGGAAAGCGAGGAGACCAACTCTGGAGCAACTTTACTCGGGATCCTGCAGAATCGGAAACACACACACACACACACAGTGCGTGTTCCCAAACCCCGTGATCACTGGACTCCCTCAAATTCTGTTTTTCACGACTGAACGCAAAAACACTCTGCGCTATGCTCAGAGGCACTCTTGCCTCCCCCACTGCCGGAGCCGTCCGCTACCCTTCCTGCAAGAAAGTTAACCCTCTGTCACGAATCGGGCAGAATGAATGACAGCCGCAAAAGACAACCTTTTTTTTTTATGGGGGGAGGCGAAGCCCATCCTGGACGCCCTTACCCTCTAGCAAAGATCTACCCCAACTTCGCCACCCTTGTCAACAACTACGCAGCAGGAAAACTCTTAAGGTGGCTGCTTCCTCTCCGTTGATGCATGCAAAAAAATAAATGCAACAATAATTCCCAATGTACCTTTTTTTTTGTGACTGCAGCCGCCTTCTGGATTATGTTTCGCAAACAAGACGCGAGACCATCTACGCTGCGCGCACCGACGCAATTTATTTGCTCGCTCGTCCACTCCGCCCCCCCCCAGCCCAGCTGACACTTTGCAGAAGCTTCTGGATTTGGCTACTCCCTCCTCCAATCGCAGCCCGGCCTCCTCTCCCCCCCCCCATGGCAAAGGGGTGGGGCTGGGGAGGGGGAGGAGGAAAGACGGGCTCGGGTGGCGTTCCGACGACCGTCATTGGATGCACGGATCCGGGAGCCGCCTGGAATTTTCAAGAAGAAGGGGCGGGTGCGCGGACGCGGTTCTTGAGCTGGGCTTAAAGGACAGACCAATGAAGCAATCCTGTTTCCATATGTCTTGAGAAAAGCGCCCCAGCCCATATGACTCCAAGCGGGGGGAGGGTTATTTTTTCTCCCCCCCCCAAGGTGCTTTTCCCTTCGCCTAGGAGGGAAACCATGAGTTCATTGGCTAATTTTTGCCCTTTATTTCTGTTCATGGAGTGTTCTTGGCAAAGATCCTGGGGTGGTTTGCTGTTGAGTCAGAACTCTCCACTATGACCTGTCCATCTTGGGTGTCCCTGCACGGCATAGCCCGTAGCCCCTCTGAGTTATTCAAGCCCTTTCCCCATGACAAGGCAGCCATCCATGAAGGGGAACTAAGATCATGGCCACTGGTCCCATCACATCCTGGCAAACTGAAGGGCAGTGACAGATTTTACTTTCTTGGGCTCCAGGATTACAGCAGATGGGGACAGCAGCCATGAAATTAAGACGCCTGCTTCTGGAAGGACAGATCCTGAAGCTGAGGCTCCAATACTTTGGCCATCTCATGAGAAGAGAAGACTCCCCGGAAAAGACCCTGATGTTGGGAAAATGTGAAGGCAGGAGGAGAAGGGGCCGGACAGGCGACGAGAGGGTTGGTCAGTGTCATCAAAGCTACCAACATGAATTTGACCAACTCCGGGAGGCAGTGGAAGACGGGAGGGCCTGGCATGCTCTGGTCCATGGGGTCACGAAGAGTAGGATACGACTTAACAACTAAACAACAACAAACATTTTTGCCCCTAAAGCGGGGAGCGATTTTTTTTTTGGGACAAGGGCGGGTGTGGGGTTGGGGGCGAGTGCCAAAAGAAGGAGATGCCCAAGAAGGTCAACGGGAGAAAGACTGCAGTCTAAAACAGGATTCCAGCGGTGCGGTTTATTTTTAACTACAAGTCCCATTATCCTTCACCTTTGGCTAGAGCTGATGGGATGTGTAGGCAAAAACAAACGCTTGCCCATTGTTACCTTAGGCACAGCCGTGGCCCTTGGGTAGTTCCTGTGTGACTTCATTGTGGCCCCCCCTCAATTTTTGGTACAAAGGGGTTGCCAATGGTCTGCTTCTGCCACATTGTTGATCCCTTTACAAGTCCAAGCTAACTTCGCTTGCTGTGTTCCTGTGGCTCTCTGGGACTACAACCCCCATCTCCTGGGGTGGGGGTGGGGAAGGTTGGTGTTGTAGTCTGGGGCATATGGAGAACACCAGTGTAAAGAAAGGGTCCAATAGCTACATGGTTCCACTTCTCGTCTTAACCTGGCATAGTTTTCCGCCTGAATAAATGCAGACAGCATTAACAGCCAGACAACTAGAGAGAAATTAATCTGGCTACTTTGTAAAAAAAAAAATTGCTCCCTGCGTTTGGAAAACAAATTGATCCACAAACAAAGGCCCAACTACTGCATGTAGCTGATGAAGATTGTGAATGTTCTTGTGAACCTGATATTCCATCCAAAATTGCATTCTGTTTCCGTACGTTTGACAAAGTGGACGTGTCCACGGAAGCTTACATTAAAATATAAGAGTTCGTCTTTAAGGTGCCACAGGTTTCCATCTTCTATTGTCTTTGTTTTGTTTCATTTTGTTTCTCCGGATTTTGCTTGTTATCGATTGGTCAACAGGTCATCCCAGTGGAAAATCTTGTCTCCCCCCCCTTTTCCTATTGATTTCTCTTCATCCGAAAATATAAGAGTTTGTATTTAAGCTGCCACAGGTTTCCATCTTTTATTGTCTTTGTTTCATTTTGTTTCTCTGGATTTTGCTTGTTATCGATTGATCAACAGGTCATCCCAGTGGAAAATCTTGTCTCCCCCCCCTTTTCCTATTGATTTCTCTTCATCCACCTTTTATTATATAATAGACAGTAGTCTTCAAGATGCCACATGTTTTTGTCCTTCTTGTTCGTTTGTTTCGGATTTTTCCTGATACACATTTTGGATCTGAACGATTATTTTTTCCCTAATACTCTTTGCAATTGCTTTCCTGTTAAATGCCTTTTTTTAACAGGAACAGCCAAAGTGCATATTTCTCTTGAGAGTTGCAGGGCTATTAAGATTCGCATTACATTGAAAGAGAAAGCCTTTTTGCAAGGATTTGGGCTTCTTTTGGCCCTGTACTTTTCCATCCTTGGGCAGAAACAATGCTTGCCATCCGTCCTGGGGCCGGCTGTGCTGTAAAGCAATACAGTATAAAGGGGATTGCTTCAGGCAGTAGATTCCTGCGGTCCAGCAGTCGTTTTAACTTTGCCCTCTGTGTATAGAATTTGAATTTTTAAAGAAAAGGCAGGAAAAAACTGCTCCAGGTTAGATCTTGTCATTTTGGATTTGTGCAAAAGTACCTACAGACCAAACAATTCAAGTCAATGTAAATGTGGTTAAATATTATTGTCTTCAATGAGCAGAAAATCAGAAGTCTTGGAAATCCAAAAAAGGTAACTTTTCAAAGCTCTGTCCTTGAAGCACTTGAGGAGCAAAAAGCAGCCTGGGGGGAATGGTTTTAATGTTTCAATGGCATCACAGGTAGTTGGGCCCAAAGACTGCTTTTATTACTATGTTTTTCAGTGTATAAGACGCCCCCATGTATAAGACACCCATCAGTTTTCTATTCCAAAATTAAAAAATCTAAGTGGGGCTTAGCAAGCATAGGGGGAAAGGGATCAAAGCGCTGCAGGATCGCTTTGATCCCTGCTTTCCCCTCCACTTGTTTTTGTTCTTGCCTCAGCTTACTTCCGTGTATAAGACGACCCTCAATTTTTAGACTAAAGATTTTAGACAAAAGTATAGTCTTATACACGGAAAAATACGGTAAATATATTTCCATGATGTCATTACCAGAACTGGCCATGAGAGGGAGCCAGAGACCATGCTATATTTGCATTTGCTATTATAATAGCATCCGCAATAATCCGTGTTTTTCTGCATCTTCAGGGGATGCTTGGAACAGATCATGGGGGTCCTATTGTAGTCAAAATAGCCATGGCATTCTCTAGCCCCTGAGAATAGGACAATGGGAAGAAGAAACTACAGTATTTTTCGCTCTAGATGTAGCTCGCCTTAAGAAATGACCAATAAAGCAAAGTCCTAATGATTCACCTCTCCTGACCTTCTCACTTGGCGAAAACTGATACCATCCCTGTTTGAAAAGCTGAAGATCTGCCCACTCCATGTTTGCAATGCTTGGCACCACAGTTGGTAGAAGTGACTCCAGGCGACAACCTTGAATAACCTTCTGGACCTCTTGCCTTGCCTTTTCACTGCAGCGACCAATGTGAATTCACAAATAAAGTTATAGTTCGTTTCAAAGGGTTCTTATCAGAGATACACAAAAACGGACAAACATGGGTGTCATTGGGGCCGCCCTTGTTGCTTCGCTGCCATCTGAGCGGCCACTTGAAAGACAGAGATAAAACAGGTGAAGCTTTTTTTCAAAGGGGTTGTTTGCAGGTCTGTGTCAACCTGTTGCTCAAGTTACAAAAGTGTGACGCCGGGAAGAAAAAGTTGAGAATTAGGAGAGCAGATGCTGTCCAGTGTTTTTTCACAGGTTTATCAACCCATAAACTCTGCACGTATGGTATGTAGGATTCAGTCCAGGTTCAGCCATATTTAGAGCACACCTGTTGAAATCAATGGGGTTTTGTCATCACTACTTCAGACACACACACACACACACACACACACACCTGATTTCAATGGATCTGCTGGAGGTACAGCTGAGTGATGCCAATGTGGTGTATCAATGCTGGGTTAACTCTTGGGAGACCAGGGTTCAAGCCCCACACTTGACCTGATAGGGTGACTTGGCCTATTGTACTTTCTCAACCTGACTTGAGCCTACCTCGCTGGGTTGTTGTGAAGATCAGAATGGGGCAGAAGAAAACTGATTTTATGAAAGTAAAGGTGGATGTATACAGCTAACAATAATAGATAATAGCAGTATCTAGATCCTGACTTGAGCCTACCTGGCTGGGTTGTTGTGAAGATCAGAATGAGACAGAAGAAAACTTTGATTTCATGAAAGTAAAGGTGGATGTATACAGGTAACAATAATAGATAATAGCAGTATCTAGATTCAGTTTCTGGTTTATAATGCACACAAGAAATCATGTGTGATAGATACAAGATCGGCAGTTATGGACTCAAACTTGTATTTTATGTGCAGTGTGATATATATGCGCAAAGCAGAAACCCTGACAAAGCAGCTTTTCCACAAGCTAATGGTTACACCTGTTGGATGCATGAGCTGTCACTTTATGGTTCTGGATCAAACCCAAGATTATGTGGCACTTAGCTTAAAAGCACTTGTAGACTGAGGTCTGGAATATTCAAGGGTGTGCCTTCTCCTTATCTAATCTATGGCTGAAATCCACAATCAGAAATTTATGGAAACTACTTAGTGCTGTAGAATGGATGCTTTTTGGATGCCTCTTTGAGAGGGGCTGGACTTGATGATCCATAGGGTCTCTCCCAGCTGCAGTTCAAAGGTTGTTGTTCAATTGTTATTACAGTGGTGCCTCGCTTGACGCATGGTCTCTCCCAGCTGCAGTACAAAGGTTGTTGTTCAATTGTTATTATAGTAGAGACTCCGACACCACTCCATGAAAAAGTGATATTGTTGTGTCTTTTTCCCCCAGCACATTTCAGTGGGCAAGGAAAAAAAAAGATCAGAAATACACCAAGATGAATAGAAATGGAAATCGATTCTCATTGGAATCCCTGTAAAACGCCATGATGGAAGGGTTTCCCCCCCGGAATAAAAGCAATGTCT